CCTCTGGACCCTCTCAATGCTGTCCACATCCCTCCTGAATTGCGGCACCCAGAACTGAACACAGTACTCCAACTGCAGCCTGACCAGTGCCACATAGAGGGGGAGGATCACCTCCTTGGACCTGCTGGAGATGCATCTGTGGATGCACGACAAGGCGTGGTTGGCCTTCCTGACTGCGTCCCCACACTGTCGGCCCATGTTCATTTTGGCATCAATAATGATTCCAAGATCCTTCTCTGCCTCTGCACTGACGAGAAGGGAGTTCCCCAGCCTGTAGGTCTGCTGCTGGTTCTTCCTCCCTAGGTGCAGCACCTTGCACATGTCAGTGTTGAAACCCATCCTGTTCTCATCCACCCACCCCTGTAACCTGTCTAGGTCCAATTGCAGCCTATTCCTCCCTTCTAGCATGCCCACATCCCCCCACATCTTAGTGTCGTGGATTAAATAACTTAATCCACTGTTATCTACATCTGAATGGTCTTAGCTCTCTTTCCTTATCCAGTCATTTTGCTTTCACCATTAACTTCTGTCTTTACTACCCATCACTTGTGTTTGCTAAGGCCTTGCCACCAAGCCATTTTAATAGGGGTGTGCAAAATGGGCCATATTAGATTCGGATTTGGCCCAATTCAGGGGACTGTGATTCAATTCGTTGATTCAGATCACTGTCCCAATTCGATTCTGCCAAATCCTAATCTAAAGATTTGATGCAGATTCAGAGAATTAGCAATTCAGCCATAGACACAGCTTTAAATGTTTTTTTTCTACATACCTCGAGGTATCAGGCGTGGCTCATGAACACTGAGATGGTGGGGCAGATGGAGCATCCCACAGGAGCGCAGGGGGTCCCCCATGTGCTCGGAGGCAGACCCCCCACACCTCTCCGGCTCAGTGATCAGCCATGGGGGACCTCCGGGTGCCCCCTCAGACCCAGGAGGCACCAGTCACTGAGCCGGGGGGCAGGGGAGGTCACCCGCGCACTCCGCAGGAGACCCAGAAGTGCTTCTGGTCCACTTCTGGGTCCACTGCCAAGCACGCTGGGGACCCCCCTGCCCTCCCATGGACTCCTCCATCTGCCCCACCATCTCAGCATTCATGAGCCGCCTGGTACCATGAGGTATGTAGAAAAAAGTTTAAAGCTGTGTCTATGTCAATCGTTGAATCTCTCCGAATTGATTTGGAGGGTTCCGATTCGATTCAGAGAGATTAAAGGGTCTCCTGATTCGATTCGGATTTGGAAATTCAGCCGACAAATCTGGCCGAATCTCCGCCGAATCAAATCAGCAACCGAAGCTTTACACAGTCCTACAATTTAACCATAGCTCCAGAACAGGCTCTCTACCTCCTGGACCCTTCCAGACATTCCTTTTCCTTCATTGTCACAAGTTTTTTCCACTTCTACCTTCTCATTATAATATACCCTCCTTCCCACCTCCTACACCTGAATTTCATTCATATGCATTATATATAATGCACACATTTAAATATAAAAAAGTCACAGGTGGCTGGCTCCTTTAAATCAAGAAGGTCCAGCTCTCCCAAGACACAAGTGCTCCAAAACTCGCCAAAATTAAGAGGTTGAGGCAGTATCTAAGATGACAGAGCAGGAAAAAGCATCTGAATGGAGGGATGTGGGAAGGCTCTACCAATGAAGAACAGTCGAGAGGCTTGATGTTGACTGTAACCATAGGGTAAAGCCAAGCTGAGAGTTTGGTGAGCAGTAAAGAGGTTCACCCTCTGCTTTCTCCAAGCCTGAGAGCCAGAGCTGGAAGGCTAGAGAAGGTGGTAGGTCAAAGAAGCTTGCCTACCTGTTCAAGGCAGAGGAAAAAGAGCAGAGAGATCAATGAACCAACCCCTGGTAAAGAAGGGACTCTTGGTAGAGAGACTGGGAAA